CAGGGTGTTATCCTGCAGGGTCCTTGGCGAGCCCATGAAGGCCACATGGGGGTGGGGGCCAAACCTGTTGGGGTCAGAGTGGTTGGCCAGGATGTTGTAACAGCCCATGATCAGCTTCTCGTAGACGCGCGACAGGAACTCGTCCGACTCTGCGGGCCCCAGGACCCGCTCCAGGGAGTTGCTGCTGATCTCCGCCACGCTCTCCGTGCTGGTCTCCAGGAGGAGGGGCAGCAGGGTGCGGATCACCTGGGGCGGGTTCAGCTCCTCCGACCAACTGGAGGAAGAGGAAGAGGCGGGCGGTGAGCGGGGGGGGGGCTCGGCTCTATCTAGAGATGGCCCAGACGAGATCGGCCGCCCTTTGGCACAGTATGGGGCGAGGTGAACAACCTTGGAAGGGCAGACCTGGAAGGGACCTCGTGGATCACGGAGCCCCAGCCCCCATTGGGGAGGGATCGACGTGGGAGAATTCAAACTCCCAACCTCTGGTTCCTGAGCCCCGGCCCCCGTTGGGGAGGGATCGCCGTGGGAGAATTCAAACTCCCAAGCTCTGGTTCCCCAGCCAGAGGCCTCCACCACCAAGCTCTCCAGCCATTCTCACAAGAGGCTGAGCGAGCCCCCTGCAGCCTCCGGCCCTCTTGTGTTTCAATCAGCCTTCCGTTCACAATCACGGGCACGGGGAGTTCTGTTTATTTGGGGAGGGGGGGCAGGGGGAAGAAAGCCCACAGCTCCCTAATGGAGTCCTTCCCTTGCAGACTCAAGGTCCTGAGTCCAAAATGACCAGCCCTCCAAGTCAGGCAGGGAAAAGTCCTAAAACCCTGGAGAGCCACAGGCTTCCCCGATTCCGAGTCGACGGTATGGGTCCAGTTTGACTCCTCAGAATGCGGCGAGAGCCTTTTTAGGAAGAGGCAACAGAAGGCGCAAATAGGCGCCAAGGGAAAGGGGCTCTGGGGCTTTCATGAGGCCGGTGACTTACACCACAAGGTCCCCGGTGAGCCTGACCAAAGAGAGGAGGGTGCGCTTTAAGGAAGCCGCGAGAGGCAGGCTCTGGCTGCAGAGGGTGCCGAGGTGGGCCGCCTGCACCGCGCTGATGTAGCTCTCCGCTGGGATCGTGTCGTTGGCAAAGGCGTTGCGCTGGAAGGCATCAAAAAAACCCAAACAGTCACGCTTTGAGGGGGTGGAAGAAACAGGGGGTGGATGTACTTCCTTGTGCGCAGCATTGATTTCGCGACCCATTTATTCACAGCTCAGAAAGCACGCTTTGACGAAAACAAACTAGCAGGAGGAAGAGGTGGGCCCAACCCATCAGTAAACCACCCCCACCCCCCAACCTGGTCCTCTCTGGGTGTGGATGGAGCGCAGCTCCCACTAGCAATCCATGGGGAAGGAGGGCTCGAGAGAAGAGCCTGCCCCCTTGCGGACAAAGGAAGGGACTGCAGAGGAGTGACAGAGCGGGGAAAGAGGGGTAAGCCAGGCAGGAAAAGCTGCCAAACGCAGGCCACAGTCCGGCAACCATCTGCCATTGTGGCTAGAGAAATAAAAATGCAGGCTCACCCATGAGCCGATGTTTGGGAATTCGTTGGTATTGATGTTGTTCCAGGATTCGCACAAAGATTCAACAGCGGAGGGCAAGTTCTGGACAAGGGTCGGTCCTGCACCGAGGGGGAGGAAGAGAGGAAGACCCTCAGAATGCGCTCATAATGCAAGAACCCGAACACAGGACGTCCCCTTTACAAAGGGGCAAAGCCCCTCCCCAGTGAGATGTCAGTCCAACCCGCCTGCCTTGTTCCGCGGGCCAGGGAGGCCACCTCTGGCACAAAAGCGCCCCCCGCGGAGGGGGTGGGACAGCCGGTTTTCTTACCTAGGGTGTTGGACTTGCACCGGCCGGAGCCAATGGCGAGGACAGCAGCGTAGCCCCGAAGCTTCTCTTCCGTCGGCTTGTTGTCGGGAGAGCCTTCCTCGGCGAGGCTCTGGAGCAGGTAAGACCTACGCCGAGGAGAGAGAGGAGAGCTCACGCACCCCAGAAAACCAGTTGCATCTCCCCCCCGCCCCCCGCCGAAGAAGATGCTATCCTGCGGGGATCCAAGACGGGAGCTTTTTAAGGGAGGGAGGGGGGAAGGGAAGGAGGGAGGGCGCCACTGACCTGGTGAAGGTGGCATAGGTGTCAATCAGCTGCAGGGTGGCCGGAAGCAGGTTCTTGGTGATCTCAGACGACCGGTGGGGGTCGGTCTCGGCCGCCAGCTTGGAGAAGTGCTCGTCGAGGGAGACCTGGACTTTGGAAATGGCCGCGTCCAGGGTGTAGATGGACTGCAAGCTGGGGATCTCGTGCAGCTTCAGGATGGTGGTGCAGTCGACCCCGGAGAAAGCAGAGATCTTGCGGGGAGAGAGAGAGTGTGCCCGTGGCAGTGGCTGGGGTTCCGCTCACCTGCCGGCCCCAAACTCCCTCCCAAGAGGGCCCGAATTCTGGGGTTTGGTCCTCCCAAGGACCCCTTCGTGAGGGAGAGGGGATGCAGGCCGGATCAGGGAAGAAGGGAACTGGGCACACCAAGTGGAAAACACACTTGTAAGGGAACTTCTGGGGCCCTACATGAAGTCCAAGGGGTTCACATCATTCTCTCAACCCCCTCCATCTCTCTCTCTCTCTCTCTCTCGGCCCCAACCTCCCTCCCAAGAGGCCCCGAATTCTGGACCCCTTTGTGAGGGAGAGGGGACGCAGGCTGGATCGGGGAAGAAGGGAACTGGGCACAGCAAGTGGAAAACACACTTGCAAGGGAACTTCTGGGGCCTACATGAAGTCCAAGGGGTTCACACCATTCTCTCAACCCCCTCCCTCCCTCTCTCTCTCACACACACACACACCCTCCCTCCCAAGAGGCCCCGAATTCTGGACCCCTTTGTGAGGGAGAGGGGACGCAGGCTGGATCGGGGAAGAAGGGAACTGGGCACAGCAAGTGGAAAACACACTTGCAAGGGAACTTCTGGGGCCTACATGAAGTCCAAGGGGTTCACACCATTCTCTCAACCCCCTCCCTCCCTCTCTCTCTCACACACACACACACACACACACAAACAGGTGACACTACCCACTTTCCGCGACAGGGAGAGCCCCAGTGGCTAACCGTCTGTACGAGTTCAACAGGTACAGACACCAGCATGTTTGCGGCGTGGCGTTGAAGCTGACCTCCTTCCTGTCTGTCTGGACATTTTTGAGGAAGCTCTGCTCTGCTCTCTCGCCCACTTTAGACCATTTTTATACTTTATTGTGGCAATCTACAGTTCTTATTCTATTTGCCTCCCAAAGTATTTGCAAGAGCAACGCCATTTACGCCTTCAGATGCTGCCCTGAATTCCAAGAAGGAGGGCCCGCAAGGAAAAGCAATTCCCCCAATGGGCCAAGGCAGCCGATTCCGCGGGCTGTCCACATACCTGCCTAGCAAAATATTCCTCGGCGATTTCCACATCATACTTCACGGAGCTGCACTTGGCCAAGGTCAGCTCCACCAGAGAAGCCGCGTGTTCGGATTTCATGCCCTGCTTGACGAGGTGATCCTAAACAAAAGCCGGGGCAAAAGACCAGGAGGCGGAGCGTGTGAGAGAACAGGTAAGCCACCACAGGGTTCACAACACTGAAGGTGGATCTCTCAAGAGAGGGACGCACACACGCATGCACGCATCCTGGAGGGAACTGATCACACCCCGCTACCTCCTCCATCATCATTCCAGCTGCACGGAAAAGACGCAATGGTTCACTCCCGTTCCAGGGTCTGAAACCCAATTTGTCCAGATCCCAAAACACTGAGCAAAGCCAGCCGGAGGCAACATTTCCAGGTACCTTGATCCAGGTGACGTAAGAGGGGATGCGCAGGCGGGAAGACCAGCGCAGGGTGTGGAGGATGTCCCACTCGCTCATCTCGGGGCTGTTCGTGGCCAGCTGGTTCATGTACCTCTTGGAGGGCGGCAGGAGGCCCAGGATCCGCCAGAGGATCAGGAAGTAATACTGAAGTGCACAGGCCTCCTGGGAGGGAAGCAAGCAAGGAAGGAAAGGTTCGTCCGCAGGCCGGAGAGAGGAGCCGGGCCAGAGGGCTGCCCAGGCCCAAAGTGAACCATTCGGGGGGGGGCTTCCACTCCCGCCCTCCCCCTAGCTTGAAGGCAGGACTGCTGGGAGGCACAGCCCAAAAACATCTGGAGGGGATCAGATGCCTGACCTTGATCTAACCCCAACCCCTCCAAAAGCTGGAAGGCTCAGCCTAGAGGCCTGTGGCTGATGAGAAGAGGCCCAGAACCCGCCCCTAAATGGGGGCTGTGCTGGCCCAGGCGGACAACTGAGCGGAAGCGGTGCGGGAGGGGGAGACCCGCCTACCAGCGCTGTGACGTTCTTGTTCTCCTTCCTGCGGAGGGTGTCGAACTGCGAGCCGGCCGCCAAGAGGGAGGTGAGGGCTGAATAGAGGTCGTCGTATTTGCTGGCCTTTGAGAATAAGACCTCACACACCTTTGGGGGGGGGAGAAAAAGGGAGCTTGGGCCATTTTGCCAGCTTGGACACCCTTCCCAGCTCAGCCCCAATCCCGACCCTTTCAGCCGGAGATGATGCTGGGGGGGGGAGGCTAAACCGGAGGCTTTCCATGTGCCAGGTGAGCACCCTCCCCTCCAGGTGGTGGACGGTTTCCCAGGGGCACCAAGGACTGCTTTCCAGAACACAGCGGCCCAAAACCTTCACAGCCTGGGCGGAACGAGTGTTCTTGACCAATGCCCAGAGCCTAGGGCACGATCAGCCGCGGTCCTTTCCTGGTGAGAAAACCCTCTGCTGAGGAGCCCTGGATGATCGCCTCCTCCTCCTCCTCCCACGAAGCCAAGCTGAAGTCCTGGGGGACCAGGGGAAGGGGAGAGGGTTTTCCGTACCGTGTTATCCAAGCGGTTCGGGTCGTCTTCGGAGGCTTCTGGCGAGAGGATACAGTAGAATCGGGGCTGAGGGGCTGCGTCTGGGGAAGGGAAAGGCAGGCAGTTCACAAACAGCAAAGACCCAGAGCAAAGAGACTGACCGTTAGAAGGACCCTGACGAGAACCTCACGAGGCAAGACTGGAGGACACCATCATGCGCGTATTGCGCTTTTCCCGTCCCTGGGAGGTGCCCAACGACACGAGGGTTCTCTCCCCCCCCCCGGGTTGCTAATGTTGTTTCGCTCCTACCTGAGGCGCAATGCTTGGCCCAGTTTTCTTCCACTTCCTTGAAGCCATGGTACAGGGGTGCTGAGGGGCGCCGGCCCCCTTCCTGGGACCCGCCGGCCCTGACAATGGGCGGAGTCAGCAGGTTGTACTGCACCTGCGGGAAAAGGGGGGGAGGAGGTGAAAGAAGGAAGCCCGTCAACCCGGGGCCCATGCAAGAGAGAAAGCAGAATCACCCCTCTCCGTTGACACCCCTGAAGTGGGCAGAACGGCTGCCCCACATGGTCTCTCGGGAGAACTCTGGCAAGGCATGGAGGAACGGAGGTTTCGCAATCTTAGAATAGACCACATAGGCAAAAAGTTCCCAGACGCACCAGGAAAGAGAGGCTCGGCTTATTTAATGGCGCTGACTAGAAGGGACACAAAGCCCACCCAGCGGATTGTGTGACTCAAGGAATACTGATCCCACGGATTGAGGGGGGGGGGGCTCCTACTGTACACCAGGGTGAGGTGTAAAGGACAGCTGCAAAGGACGGTGGGAACGGTCGTTCGCAGCCCAAAAAGAGAGCTACCCTTCCCTCGCCCTGGTGTACTGCAAGCCCCCACCCACCCAATCTGCAAGATCAGTCCCCACTGATTCATTTACCCACTGCTTGAAAATACTGAACATAAAAACTCAAAAATACATATTCAGGCTCCAGCGCCGGCTTGCCCAGGCCCTACCTGCTCAAAGAGATACATGGGGACCTTCGAATACTGGTGGAGCAGGTAGTCGAAGACCAGGAGGAGGCGGGCGAGGAGGAGCGGGACGCAGCCGAGCTGGGAGTCCAGGTTGGCCGTCAGTTCCAGGACGGTCCGGACGCAGAGGGTCAAGACGGACCGCCGGCCTTTCTCAGAGAAGCTGTGGAAGATCAGCAGCAGCAGCTGCAGGTGCTCGACGTTCAGGTCCTCGGTGTCTCCGGGGAGGGTCCCCTGCAAGGCGCTCTGCTTCAGGGTGCCCACAAACCTGCCAGCAGCACGGGAGGGGAAGAGAGAGGAAAAAGGCACGGGGGTGAGAGGGCAGCAGACTCCCCCACCCTAGAGATGATTTTTATAAAGAAACTTTAGAGGACCACCGATCAAGGGGTGCTTTAAACGTCCTCGACAGCCCAGCGGCTGGAGTCGTCATTCTTTCTTATTCCCCAATTCTTCGATTTAAGATGCCCTAGACTGGTAAGCACCGATTTCCAGCTCTCAAAGAGGGCCGCGACGGCCTGCCAGTTATCCTGGGGCCATTCTCACCTCCCGTTTGCGGCCTCGCACAAAATTAAGCCACACTCTCTCACCAAAAGGCGTCCAGAAATAGGGAGGAGGGGACGGGCGAGATTTGCTCTTTAAATGCACATTTTCCCCACTGGAGCTTAATTTGGGGCCAGAAAAGACTTTTTAAAAGCAGAACAAAACATCTGGCTACTTGGGCCTAAGAGAGAAAAGTTACGATGAGAGAGGAGGAGGTGAAGAGATCAGGTCTCTCTTCAGAAGATACCATGCACCACTCGAGGGATGTTAAATATATATCGAGGGATTTATGGGGAGCCACGAGGCCACCGGCTGCTCCTTTGCCCCAACCCTGGAGGAGGAGACGGCACAAATTCTCCCAAGCAGCTTCTCAGCCAGAAGAGATTCTCCAAAGGCTGCCAATCATCAGCCTGGGGTGGGGCAGGCCACCCAGTGGCTCCTCCCAGGCCGAACCCGCAGGGCCTCACCTCTCCCAGACTTTCAGGCATTCAGGCACGTCGGGGTCCCGCTGGAGGCTGGCCTTGTGCTGCCAGAGGAGGAGGAGCCGAGAAAGCACGGAGAGGCTCTGGGAGTGGATGTAGAGGGGCCAGGGGCCGTCCGAGAAAGGGGCCACCCCCAGCTGCTGCAGGAGCGTGTTCTGGGAAAAGAGCAAAGGGGTGTGTGTGTCAAGCACAACACCACAGGCACAACGAACCAAAACGGCACACACTGGACCTCTGATCGGTGGGCACGTCACTAACCAGAGGGGAGAGCAAAAGCCTGCTATTTTAAAACTCAGTCTGGCCGATACAAGTGGGCGGATTCATTCTCCTCTGCCACTTCCCTTCCTACTCCACTGAACTTTTGATCACTATGTCCAAAACAGAGAGACTGCAGATAAGGACACCAAAGGCTGTCTCGCCTCATTGATACATGGGCAACCTTTGACCTTTAAGATGCTACAGCAATCATCTTCCTGAAGCTCCAGCCACCACTAACCCCACAGGTAGGGAGTGAGAACATTGGAAAGAAGGCAAAAGGTTACTTCTCCATGAAGGCCGGAGGCCTGCCCCAAAGGAAGCTCCTGCCATAAAAGACTCCCATTACAACTCAAATCTCTGCACCTCAGGCCTATCCACTTTCTAAAAGGCCAAGCTTGCCTTTTAGAAGAGCAGGTTTGTTGCTACAATACTTTAATTTTTATTTCTGGGGACACCCGCCAGCAGACCCCCCGAGAGACTCACCTGCAAAGTCGGGGACTGGAGGTCGGACGTCACCAACGAGTGGTTGAAGTGATACAGAGCGGCTGCGAACTCTTCCTCCTCTGAGGTGCCTGCAAGCCGGTTGGAGGGGGGGGGGGAGAGAAGATAAGCCCAGGATTACAAAAGATATTCAGCAGAGCCAAAGCGGAAAAAAATCTTGGGAGGGAGAAATCTTGGAGGAAGCCTATTGTTTATCCCTGTTCTGCCCCTGCGGCCTTCCAGCGTCTCTGCCAAATGGGGCAACTGCCTCACGCCGCCTGACGGTAGGGCAGGCCCCGAAGGCACCTCGTCCGCGTGTAGTCCGGACCAGAGAACGCAAGACAGGGCTCCTCCCAAGCCAACGTTCCACCTCCTCAGGGCAGGGTCCCTTGCTCGGCCCTGCTGTCTTCTGGGAACTTTCAACTCGGTCTCCCAAGACCTGAACTCGGGACCGTCTGCCTGGAAAGTGTCTCGGCTTCACCCCACCTCACAGCCCCCGGCTCTGGGAAAAGGCGATCCAAAGAAGACCAAAAGGAAACCGGGAGCTCCCTTTCTGACGACCCCGGGGCTCGATGGCGCGCCAGGCTCGAAACACAGGCCCCTCACCTTTGAGGCCCTCTTTGTCCACTTCTTTGATGATGCTGGCCAGGGTGGCCATGTGGTGCTCGGTGAGGGAAACGCTCAGGTAGTTCCGGATGAAGTTGTTCCTCGAATCCAGCATGGAGGAAGTCACAAAGTTGAGGATGTTGGACGCCAGGCTTAAGAACTAGGAGGAAGGCACAGCGGAAAGGGAGAGACGGGTGAGCGATTTGAAAACGGGGGTGAGCGAGGGGGAAGAGAAGCTGCCCCTCTCAGAAGAGCTGAAGAAATCCCACTCTGAACCGTCTCTCCTCCAAAATGCAAGTCTCTGCGTAACAGGAATGTTCCCCGTATTTGGGCTGGGGGGGGGGGAGATGGGCACTCTATCCCGCATTAATCAATCATTCCTTCCACCTCTGATTTCAAAGACAGCCCTGCCTCTCTGCCGAGAGCTCCTATCGCTCTCCTTTATGTCTGTCAAACTCAGCAGCATTGTTAGCTTGCTGTTTCCCAACTGCTAAGGAATAAAACATTTTTATTTTTTCTACTGCTAACATCTCAGCTTGAGTAGAAGAGACCTTTAAGGGCCAGTGGATGAGAAAGGGGTGGCCTGTCCGGGGAGCCAAAGGAATTGAACCAATTTTTTTTACAAACTCTGCCACAGGACACCCGTGCTGTGGGTCGCCTTCTCGAGCCCCACGAGGCCACCTTGTGGAACAAAAATCCAGATCAGGCAAAAACGTGTCCCCCAAAACACCCACCAGTTCCGGGTCTTTGCGACTGGCCAGGATGTTCCCGTTCTCCCCGGCGGCCTGCTTGTTGGGGCTCTTCACTCTCGGGGAGCTCTCCAGGGGGGGAGGGGGCGGGGGATTCTTTGCCCAAGGATGGGCTCGCTGTCATCATCTTTAAAAGACAGAAAGAGAGAGAGAGAAAGAGGCGTATTTAAGGGTGTTTTAAAAGGACTGCCCAAGGAATAGGAAAAGCTATAGATCTCTCTCTCGAATTGGGATCCGATCTTCTGCATCAAAGACGTTAAACGGAGCCACCGGAACTCCCTCCTGACACCCACCCTGGCTGCTGTCCTCCGTGCTGCTGAAATCGTCCTCGTAGTACGTGTTGGAGTCGGTGGAGGCGCTCACGTCGCTGCTCATGGAACCCTTGCGCTGTCGCTGCAGGACGCAGGCCTGGCCGAGAAAGGGAAGACGAAAGGGGCAAAAATCAAAATAAGGCCGAGTCAGCTCCACCCGCCAGCACTTTCACTCCAAAGCATGGCGGGCGAGATCGATCTGCCGCCCCGCTGGCTCACCTTCCGGTATGAGGTGGACAACAGGGTGAGGAGCAGGTTCGTGAGGGGGACGGATTCGATCAGCCGCTGGATCCGCTGGATTGAAGTGCTCTGGGCCATGACGCTGAGCACTGCCGGGGGGCCATCCGTCTCCCACCCCTGAAGAACGAGACCAGAAGCTGAGTTACTGCCGCCCGTTTGTTTCTTGGTGGGAAAGAAATAAAAAGAGACCTCCCTTACGGTTGTGAACCTCCGCAGGCTCCACACGTGCGCACAGGTGACAGCACGGGTGAGGAAAAAGCCCAGCTTCATGTTGTGGGGCCCTCCCCCTCCCGTTAAAAGGACGGACTCTGCATGCTCACCTTGTGAAGTGCCTCCACTTGCAGGTCTTGGAAAAGGGAGGCGAGGAGCTTGATGGCGTGGTTGGCCAGCACCACGGATAACACTCCAAAACCTTGATGCCTACAGAAAACGGGCAAGAGGAGACGTTATCTCTGTTGTGCCTAGCTCTAAACTGCTCCCTCTGCTCCATTCCCATGCACTGGAAGTGGAGACCACGCTTTTTAATCCAAAAGGCTTTTAATCGTTGCTCAGCCCAATAAAACTTGAACGAGAGCCAGGACAGTGGCTCCACCATCCAGGGAGCAAAGATAAGCCGCCCCCCAGGTGGGATCCCTCCGCCGTGAACCCCAGGTGGCTTCTCTGCATCACAGGGAGACAAACGCTGACCAACACTGAAGGGACTGCGATGAGGACCACGAGGGGACCAAGGCAGAATTTTGGAGGACTGGAACAGACCAACCGGCTGGGTCAGACCCTTCTGGCTTTCAGCACCCTCGGCACCCACCAAGCCCTGTGCTGCCAGGGTGCTGGGCAGAGAAGACTCTTGCTTCCCATTCCTTCCAAAGGGCAACACCATGGACGGCCCGCACAGAGTATGGGCTCTGCCAACCAGCTTTAAAAGCCCAATTACTGAGTATTCCCTGGCGCTAAAATCCTACCACGACTACCAAACCGGAACGCGAGAAATTAGTGGAGTGAAAGGATGGGCCACATCACCTGTCTTTGACGCTCTGCGCCCAGGTGGCCCGCCTGTTGCTGCCCAGATCTTTCCTTTCCCATGGGTAAGGCTGGCCCTGGCTAATGGGAATGGCCCTAAGTCACCCACCCTGTCTTAGATTCATAGAGAAAAAAAGAGTCTGTACACAGAGGCCTTTCAAAACCTCCCCAGCCTGCGCTCAGAACTGGTAGAGCCACCCCCTCTGCGGTACAGTCCTTCCTTCATATTCTACCTCCCGAGGATTCTACCGCTTTGATCAGCTGAAGGCCAGGCCAAAGACCAAGGGAAGCAAGGGAGAACACACACACACCCTCCACCAACGCTTACCCTTTCCCCGGTCCGAGTTTGGGGGACCCCACTCCCTCTTTGGAGCGGGCAATTATGTCTCGCACCCGAAGCGCTGCCAGGGGGTCCTTCTCTTTCCCCTTGTCAGCCAGGGCTGTGGGGCTGAGGTTCAAGATGAGGAACAAGCTGTTCAGCAGGCACCAGGCCCCGAGCAGCTGGAAGTTCTGGTAGTGCTATGGGGAAAAAAGACACACATCATACAGAGACCAAGTCTGATTCTACGTAGTTGCCTGTATGGCAAACCTGTATAAGATAAACTAGTTTTTCAAAGGGGGTGGGATAGCCTTACCTCTCCCCCCGCACGGCGTGAGTTGCTGATGGCTTGGCCGATCATATCATAAATTTCAAGCTGTGAAGAGAAACATAAAGGTTTTCTCCTCAGAAATGAGTGCGAAAAAGCTCCCCCTCAAGCCTGGTGTGAATGTTAGAGGAAAAAAATGGGTTTTAGAGCTCACAAAGTCATAAAAACTCGGAGGGCGACGCATACCCCTTGTACTCTCTCTCCTCTCTGATGGAGCTGCCTCCCCAGAACGTGGAAAACAGCAGCTCGCTGGTGGCCCGGGGGGGGGCATAAATAGGACTGATCTGCAGGGAGGGGATGTCTGTTGCAATGAAAACCATAAAGCGTTCTGTGGCACCTTACAGACCGACAGGTTTTGTCTAGCACAGGCTTCCAGGGACCATCCCCAAACACTTGGCACCAAACCAAGCTCATTCATCTCTCAATGAGGATGAGCAAAAACATGGAGGAACGAGCATCTCTGTTGCTTTTAACGTGGGTCACACGCCTGCACAAGCGAGGCTGGGGCCTCTGCATATTCAACACGCTTCCTTCTACCTCCACCCCCTCCCTAAAGCAATATAACTCCCTCCCTCCCCCCAACCCTGTACAGCCGGCTTACGCATTTCTGGACAATGGTGGCGGCGTCATTTTCGTAGTCCTCCTCTTTTGAGCTTGTGGACCCCGTGCGGACTTGCTGGGTGGTGCCCACGTGGAGGATGGCCATGCAGGTTGCCACGCTCACCCCTAAGGAAAGGGAGGATCTCGGCATGAGGTGGGGCCTCGCCCAGCAATAACCAGACGTGGCTCAGTAAGATGGCCACAAGCTGGGAAGGGGGGGGAGTCCATCTTTGGAGGAGGAGGAAGCCCCGTGCTGAGCACCAGAACTTTGGAAGGGCACTTCTCTGGGGAGAACAGCGACCCAAACGCAAGGAAGTCTCTTTGGTGGCTGCCTTGCGGTCTCTCCAGGTGGGTGATCTGGGCCCTCCCCCATGTTAAGACCACAAATACCCCGCCCCGCACCAGCCAATGGGAGGGATGCCAGGAGCTGCAGTCAGGCAACATCTGGAGGGCCGCAGCCGCCCAGCGTTTTAGAGAACAGGAGACAACCCTTCCCCCACTGCACGGACTCAACCATTTAAAATGGAAGCGAGAGAGGAAAACAACGGCAGGAGGAAGCAGGATGTGATCGTCCCCCACTAAGCGAGCGAATACAGATCATCTCCTCTCTGCACTCAAGCACTCCTGTCTAAATCTGCCCATCTAAATCCCATCTAAGAGCCGAAAACTTTTCCTCCGAGATCAGAACAGCCACGCCAGAGAGGCTGATCTTTTATAACGTTTTTTATGCCACGTCCTTTTGTCAAGCGACCACTTACCTGCGTAGAGACAGCTGAGAGCCAAGACGGTGACATCCTGCAGCCGCGTGGGAGTGAGCGGCTCCAAGACGGGCAAGGAAAGGGTGTCGAGCGCCATCGTTACGTCGATCACCAATGAATGGAACCTGCAGGGGTGGCAGGAAAAGGCGAGGTGAGCGTGGGAGACACGGCAGCCAGATAATCACCCACTATCCCCAACGGAATATAAACCCCAAAGGATGAGGAACACCAGCGAGGGCTTTCCGGAAATGGCCACTGAAAGCTGGCTGGCCTGGAGGCCAAGCGGGGAAGAAGAGAGGAAAGAAGACGCATACATTTTCTCTCTCTTTCTCTCCCTCTCTCTCACCCGTTACGGACGGCAGTGGCGTCGTCAAGCAGGGAAGAAGAGAGGAAAGAAGACGATACATTTTCTCTCTCTTTCTCTCTCTCTCTCTCTCTGTCTCACCCGTTACGGACGGCAGTGGCGTCGGCCACCGTGGCTGGCATGATGAAAAAGGAATTTGCTGCCACAGCATCCTGGAAGCGGTTGATGTAGCGAAGGAAATAAGGAAGGTTCAGGCACACACGTAGGAGCTTCTCGGAACCTCCTGCAAAGCGGAAAGCAAAGTGAGCGGAAAGGAACAAAACCCAGCTCCCGTCTTGTCCGATCGGACGAACGCAACAGTGGCACCAAAGCTGACCCTCTCTCTGTTTCTCTGCAGTTTGTGGCCTATCTCGTGAAAACGATATGGAGAGAAAACAGAGCAAAAGGCCGCCTGAAGGGACTCCCTATCAAACTGTTGTTTTAGTTTAAGATATCTATTCTTTTAAAAAGCATGGTTTTATAACGAGCAATACAGATTTCTCAGAAAACCTGGGGATGGGAAGTTTTGAAACAGAGCATGACCTGATTCCACCACCGCCACCACTACCAGCATTTTCACAGCTAACATTTACAAAACAGAACTTTTAACAGCCCAAACAAATGTATCTGAATGGAAATATGCAAACAGATAAAAAAAATAAACACGGAGGTTTAAGTGTCATTTTTACAAACAATTCAAATTGTTACATGAAAATTGCCATTACTGGCATCATCTGGAATTCCTATTTATAAAACCGTTGTATCACATAAGAAAGGGAAAAATAAAAATTGTTACAGCTGACGGCTACAGTTCATTGTTGCTAATCAATTTCACGGACGGCTTCTCCCAACCCCACCAGGAAAAGGAACATTCCTGCCCCGCATCACCCTTTAAAAGCCACAAGACAGCTGTCTAAAACAGAAAGGGGAATAAAACTACCCTCACTCACCAAGTTCCTGCAAGCTGGCAACATTCTGAGCAATGAAGATGCTCTTAGTCTTCGTGACAGAGGCCTGGTCTGGGGATGATGGGTCCTCACTCTCGCCTTCACCCTATGAACAGAGACAGGCATCGTGCCACACAGACAATTTACCAAGCATCGTGAAAAGCTAAAAAACACATCTCTTACTTAGAGATTTTCTCAGCTTGTTTCATATAATGCCTCAATAACCTGCCCATTAAGACAGAACTTCTCACTCAGCCTGGAATTTGGCCTTCTGCCTGTCAATCAAGGGCTCCACCCCACTGAGCTGCCCCCTTCGGTTCACCCGGAAGGCCCTCCAAAGTAGATCCGCATCCGGAGTATCCCACCATCCCCTCCCATCTCCGGGATTTCGGGCAGAGGAGACTTGAAAGCCCTCCCAGCAGCTGCCGACGACTTAATTCAGGACCTCGGGAGGGAAAGGAGGTCTTTCAGCCCAGACTGACGTCTCCCTTCTCTCCCTTGCATTCAGCTCTATTTCTCTCAATCCAGAGGATCTTGGCGCTGGCCGAGGTACCTGGCTCTGCTGTATGATGGACGAGGTTGCCATCCGAGGGTTAAAGACGGAGGTCAGCTGGTTCAGGAAGTTCATCTGCACCTCTTTCTGTCGCAGTTCAGGGCTGACGGGTGAAGCCAGCTCTTTTTGATCCTCCACTGTGGAAGGAAGGTGAAAATAACCCATCGGTGTTGGCGTGAGAAACTGGAAAGCCACGTATTCCGGACGGCAGGCAGGAGAGGCGGACGGGGTGGGAAAAGGCCACGGGGAGCACATGGCCGAGAAAGCCACTCACCGTCTGAGAGAGTCTTCACCGTCTGGGGAAGTTTGGCCGATTTCATCATGGCCGTGAAGGTGATGATTTCCGTCCTGTCCAGGCGGCTGCAACCGGTGCAGAGGCCTTTGATCAGCAGAATCAGGTGCTTCTAAGGGAGGAAAGGTGAGCTGTGAGGCGCTGGTGAGCATTTTGGAGCCGCTTGGCTGTGACTTCTGACCATGGCCGGAGGACTGACTGGCCCCGGCGTCATGTGGCTGACAAGCAGGAGTGGATTTCACCCAACAGTGATGACTCAGGCCGGGGGTTCCCCACGGGGGGGGTCACCCACACGCTCTCAGATGGCAGCTCCCAGAAACTCCAGCCAGCAGAGCTGAGTGGCAAAGGCTTCTGGGAGTTGCAGTCCAAGGACCCCTGGACGACCCAAGGTGAGGAACCCACTGCTTTAGGGGTATAACAAATCCTGTTGCTTTTCCATAAAGCAACAGCTGTTTACTGGGCACCCAGAAATTTGGCATGAAAAGTGGGGTTTTTTGGGGGGGGGTAGCAAAATTAAGGCAAAAACTAACAAAGGCTAAAAAAGAATGGAAGGGAAACTTGAAAGGATGAACCACACAGCCCTTCAGAGGCTGTCTGGCTGCAAGTCTGATTGGTCCCAGTGACCGGGGGTTATCTGAGGCCCAAAAACACTGGAACAGAAAGCATCTCCCGGACTGGAGCTGCCTGCCTTCCCTAAGAGGCGCAGAGCAGCAGCACCACCACTGGAAGCTCCCTAAGCCTTAAAAGAGGCAAGGTTAAAGAACCCAGGCCTTAGAGCCAAAGAAAACTGGGACACTTCAGTTCATCACGGCATGGTCTCCTCCTACACAGCCGCAGTGTCATCCCAGGCAGAGAGAAACAAACCGATGGAGGCTTTTGCCTTTTATGGGGGGGGTGGATGAGAAGTTTGCCACCCCTCCCTCCTCCTCTTACCTGTGAGACGGCACACGCCTCGTCGGGGTTCTCCAGCCGCAGCAGGGAAAATTCAATCAGGACTTTGCAGGCGGCCGCCACGGACTGCAGCTGGTTTCTTGGAACTGGCGGACCAAAGGGGGATCGTGTCATTTGTACATCAGGGGCACAGAGGAAGAAGAGAAGCATTCCTCAGCACCTCTTCAATTCTCTCTCCTCTACACCACTTGCTGGGGGCCCCTCAACCCCCCTCCTCAGAGCTTTCCATTTTGATCTGCTCTCTTCCATGCTGACTGGTTAAAGAAGAATTCCCCCCCCCCAAACTCTTCCCACCCGGCACTCTCGTTACATGAAAGGCAATTCTGATCCTCCTCAACCAGTGCAGCTGGAAAGGACGGGGGCAGAACATTTCCAGTTAGACCAGGGGTCTCAAACTGTGGCCCTCCTCAACCAGAGCAGCTGGGAAGGACAGGGGGAGAACATTTCCTCATTTTAGGGGTGCCCAGTTAGACTGAGAGACTCCCTCAGGGATCATGCACTTCTTAAAGCCCAGACGGGCCCAGGCAGGAGACCGGAGAAGGTCCAGACTCACCCAGTCCACACACGGTGGTGATGTAGTGCGTGGCCAGGGCCACGAAAGAGGAGTAGAATGGCTCGTATTGCTTGTCGTGGTGCAAGATTTCAGATTCACTGCGGAGAACAAAAAGGACGGAGTTAAACAGGGAACAAACCACCAGGAATTTCGCAGATCTTGCTTGGCCAGTGGAAGCGTCTTCATCTGGTTCTCCCCTGTGGGAGTGCTCCGGGAACAAAGGGGCCTTCCTTCTGATCCAGTACAGCTCTTTCTGGGTACTTTGGAGTGGCTTTCCATGTCTCCCCCCCCCCACAGAACGAGTGAGGCCCCGCCGATCACCAGCAGAGAGTACCAGGGGACAGCCACTGACAGCTCAGCCAAACCATGGAAGACTAGCTAACAGGTGGTAGAGGGGGAAAAATCCCTCTCTGGCAGTGAACAAAGCGAACTGCTGAATGGATCTGGCCAGGCGCAAACATCCGCCCTCTTCTGAATGGCCTGGATATCTGCAGGGCTCCTTCTGCCTTTCACCCAAACGCCAAAGCGATCATCACCTTTCACCCACCCCTGCTCTTCTACTGCGAGGCTGCCTCCCTGGGCCCAGGGTGAGGGCTTTTTAAAAAACCGCTGACTGGCCTGGCTAACGTTGGCCCAAAGGTGGAAAGCCTGAGCCTTCCTCCTTCCCAGGCCCACCAACACACCACAGCAGCACCGCCCGCTAAACACCCTGGCATGAGAGGATACTGGAGGGAGGGTGGGGTGTAAAATTAAAGAGAGAGAGAGAGAGAAAGGGGGGCATCTTGTTGGAATAACCTCTATGGAGGGGGAGGAGGCAAAGTCTAGGGGCCGCTGGGCCTTCTCGAGCCCTTTTGGAGAGCCCCTCCCTTTCCAAAGGCCCCTTGGCAAAAGGAGGGGTGGGGCTGGGAGGCCTTCTTTGCAAACACTTGCCCAGCGCTGGAAGGAGCCCCTCCCTTTACAAAGGCCCCTTGGCAAAATGGGGGTGGGTGGGGGTGGGAGGCCTTCTTCCCCAGCAAACACTTGCCCAGCCCAGGAAAGGGCCCAACCAGAAGCCCCCCCGCCTGACCGCCCACCCAGCGCCAGAAGGCCTGCAGAGCGAAGTGGGTTTCCTTTTGGGG